AAAAAAAAAAAAACCACGGTAATTAACGAGAAAAATTTACCGATTTACAAAGAAATTACTAAAAACCTTTTTCCAAAGGGATGGGAGATGGGGGGTGGGGAGGGGGAATAAAAAAGGAACAGAAAAAATGATACAAGTAAAAAACAAAAAACTAATTGGGTTGTTTCAGCTTTCTTTTGTTTTTTTTTTTCCACCTTTGTTTTTCTTATGTACCTTTTATCATTTTTTTCCCTTTTTCTTTCTTTTATTACTTTTTTTCTAAACATAATTTTTTTTTTCTTCTCATAATTATAGCATACAATCCTCATTTGTAGCATTTGAATTACTGATCATCATACTATTATACTGTACTTTAACAGGCTTAACTTGGTCTATCATCTTCTTCAGGGCTCTTCGATACGGCCTCAGAAGTGTTAAATTAATAACAGCATATGCTAACGGATGTATTCCAATGATTGCTTCACTAATCGTAAAATATTCCATCGGTATATCAATGGAAAACATTATAAATAAATCTGAAACAACAAAAAAAAATTACTCTTTTTTAATAATAAAAATTAGGAACACAAAAAAGAAACTAAGGTTTATTTGCTGAACACTTAAGTCTTATTTTTTGGTTGCATTTTTTCAAGTTGCTATTAATGGTTTTATAATACAAATAAATTTCTTCAGTCACTATGTATCTGTTTTTTAACACCAAACAGTTGGCAAGATTAACTATACAGATTCAGATTAACAATTATAACTTTTAGTCAGATAAACATAAAAAAAAAAGTGTAAAAGTGATGAAAAAAAGAAGATCCTAAAAAGTTTAAGACCCTATTGGTTGAATATGCAGATAAAAATCAGTGAGTGATTCTATTACTTTGATCAGTATTAATAGCTGTTGCTGACAGTAAATCAAAATTAATTTTTTATATAAAAATTTGCTTAAACAAACTAAGAAGTTCTAGAGGAAGAAGTGTCAACTTACTGGCAATATAGTAAGGAGTAGCTAAGATAAGTGGCATAAATGCCTGTAATACATATGTATAAACAATGCCTTTCTGATGCTGTAATTGTCGTGGATTCAGTGTTCGACCAATCTGTTTCCGGGCACTCTTCGATTGACGTCGTACAATTGACAGCAATACCAACAGATTACATATTGATGAGAATACAAAAAATGATGGGGCCAATGCAAAAAATACAAACTGAAATAAGTCAGAAGAAATAATAGTAAGCATAAATCAACTACTAATATCATTTTTGTCCTCAAAATTAAAACTGATGATACCCTATCAGTTTACTCCATTGGAATAAAATCTCAAGGAGCAAAACAAATAACTGCTTTTTTTTTTTAAGCTTAATAGTCTTTCAACAGTTACTGATCTGATTTAATTAACAACAAAAAAACACTAGTTTCTCCACTTCTGTGTCTTCTGTAAGAAAAAAAGCAGTATAACACTTCAAAACAGTAAGCAAAAATACTAATTTTATCAAAAAAAAAGAGAAAGAAACAGCAAAAGCGTGTAGAAGTATAAGAAAGAATTTTTACTTACCACATTTGTATATGGCGACATTTGAATATAAAGGAACATAAAGTCATATAAAATAACTTTTTGTAAGCATAAATCATAAATACCGATAGCCATTGGTATTGCAAAACAAATTGCAGTAATTATTGTCAATGATTTTAACCGTAATTCACAGTTATGACATACCAATAACCACTGATCAATGGCCAATACAGGGAATAGAAAATAGATAACATATGTACTATTGTAAATAATTGTTCGTAAAAAACTGCATTGAAATAGTGTTAATTTAAAATTATTTAGCAGTGCTATCAGATAAATTAAATTCAGCAATAAATAACCGCATACACCAAATATATTCGCAATTGTCATACCCAATGTTGGATATTTTACCCGTGATGATATAAGTCCTTTTTTTACACTCATATATGCTAATAAAAAATTTGGCGGTAGTGCAAATGAATAAAGGACAATATAGATGACCGAATTTGGAAAATATGATTCTAATGTAGGCACCTCATCAGCATCAACCACTGATAAATTATTCACTGTTTTGTAGAATGACATCCTAAAAAAAGAAAAAAAAACAACAACTTTAATTATATATGTGTACAAAATAAAGATATAAGAATGGCAAAAAAAAAAA